CCTGCGCCACCCTCCTCGTCCCTGACACAGTCGTGCCCGTTGCTGCGGACACTGTGTCAGTCCATCTCATTGAAGGTCTTCCTCTCTTTTGCTGACCCTCTGTCCTTCCAAGCGTGATGTCCCTTTCCAAAGAACAACCTCTCCTAGCACCATATCCAGAATAGGAGAAATGGAACGTCATTGTTTTTGCCCTCAAGGAGTGATTGGCTGCACTTTTTCCAAGACAGACCTGTTTGGCTTTTCTTTTTTATGTTTGCAGTCCATGGAATACTCAGTATTCTTCTCCGATATCACAGCTCCCAGGCATCTGTTCTTGTCATCCGTAGTCACTACCCAACTTTTAGATGTGTAGCAAGTGATTGAAAATACCATGGCCTGAATTGGGTGCACGTTAGTCTCTGACTCCTAGCAACCTTATAAACAACACATCTGGCCCTTACTATATCTGGCACCTTCCTCATAATCTCTGATAGTTATTATCAGTGCCGCTTTTTTTAAGCCCCAGAAACCCTTCCTCCGTGTCATGATGTAGACACGTTCAGTGTATAAACTATGAGAGGTGCTGGGCTTGATGAGCAGTGATGGGGATCTCAGAAGCTGGTCTTTTCTGTCTGTTTTCTGCATGCTGGGGTTCTGTCAGCCCTCTCATACCTTTGCAGAAGTGTGCGCATGAGGGCCAGCAGCACAGAGGGAGGCCTGGCCGTCGTGGCTGGGAGGTTGACTGTCAGAAGAGCAGTTAAGTGGTTTCTCTAATATCTGTTGTCAGGTGTGCAGACTGCTACGCCCCCCCATGGAGGTCAGGCTCCACTGGAGATAGTTGTTCTTTACCATTATGTTGGAATTGACTCATAACTGGCTCTCAAGCAAGTTTCCAGAGACAGTAAATCACACAAGAGGAGACTGGCCTTCTTTCTCCTGTGGAGCAGCTGGTTGGTCCGAACCTTGTGCCTTTGGGATTTCAGCACAGCGTCTTGCCACTCGGCCACCAGAGCTCCCATCCACTGGAGATGGTGTACACATAGTCCCTCCAGAGCATGGTGACAGGACACTAGAGGGGAAAGTTATTGCCAACAGAGGCCGAGTTTGAACAAAGGCAAGGGCTTGTCCTGCAGTTGTTGGTATATTATTAGGTTGAATCAGTCACAACTCTTGGCAGCCCTGTGAACAACAGACCTGGACCCTGTCCTGTGCCATCCTCCTCATCCTGACACCTTTGAGCCCGTTGCTTCACTGACTGTGTCAGTGCATTTGGTTGAGGTTTTTCCTCTCCCAACTCTTCACCTTTCCAAGCTTGATATCCTATCCAAGGAACAGCCCCTCCCAGCAGCATGCCCAAAGGATGTGAGACAGAGCTGCTTTTCTTTGAAGGAGCCTCGGATGCACTTTCTCCCCCCAACACATACCTATTCTTTGGCAGCCGTGGGGATATTCCGTGCTCTCTTCCGGCACCACAGGGTTGAGGGAACTGCTAACTCCGTGCGATTGCACACAGTGCCCAGGGTCGTGGGAAGGGGGCGGGATGTGGAGCATGAAGGCTGGGAGGCCAGGCCAGGGATTGTGGCCTTGGACATGGCTTCACCCTCAGCCTCCTCTACCCTTGTGGAGGGAGGTCTCCTGGAACAGGGCTGAACATGAACACCCTGCATCTGTAGGCAGGGTCAGAACGCAGGCTCAGAAGAGGGTGGCTGGTGGCACGCCAGCCCAGCCCACAAGGATGTGGGTGAGGAATTCCCTGCGGGGGTCACTCCCGTTAGTGGAATGTCAACAGTGTCCGTCCAGGCCCCTTAGACACCAGCTCAGCTTTCATCCATTTTACTTCCAAGCACATACCGTGGTCAGTGGTCAGCACTTCTGGGGATGTGGCGCAGCAGTGGGCCGGGGGGCTTCATCCACAGGAGGCAGGTCCACAGAAAGCTTGTGGGGGGGCAGTCTCTGTCCTGCTGGTGCACAGCAGAATGCTGCAGGGCCCGTCTGTGCAAGGGGCCTGGCCCAGAGTCCCCCTGGCTAGGCACCTTAGCTGCCTGTTGGAAGGGCAGCCTGGGGCTCTGGGTTGGGCTTGAGTCTGCATGTTCCCCGAGAGGGCTTCCCAGCCTCACCAGCAGCCCTGATCCAGCCACTAGGCCTCCAAGCTTCTCTCTCCCGAGATGTAGCCATATCCCACCCTTCCTCCTAGTACACACCAGCCCCAGCAATACCTCTGCTCTGTTCTTTCCTGGTCCTAAATCTGATCTGAAAACACAGCACTTGATCTCTAGGCAATTTCCTAGCATTCTCAGTGGTCTGGTGGTTAAGGAGCTACACTGTCCACACAAAGGTGGACAGTTCAAATCTCCCAGTTGCTCTGTAGGAAAAGGATGGGCAGTCTCCTCCTGTTCAGTTTATAGCTTCAGAAAACTATCTGGCAGATCAGCTCTGAGTTGGTTCCAGTTCAACAGCAATTATTTCCATTCAGGGAGCCCAGGCAGTGTAGTCCGTAGGGGCTCGTGCTGCTGACCCAGACGCCTGTGCCTCTCTCATGCATCGAATCCCAGTGGCTCGATGGGAGAAAGATGGGCAGTCTCCTCTCGTGTGATTCCCAGCCTCTGAAAGCCCGCTGCAGGGTCTGCTATGAGACAGCAGTGAGAATTCCTGCCCCTGAGACTTGGATACCGTGACTGCAACAGTGGGCTGGAACCTAGCGGACGATGAGGATGGCCCAGGACTGGGCAGGGTGCCAGCCAGCTGGTCACAGGCCTCTGGGTACTTACTGGCACATAACAGGCGAAAGTCGTCTGTGGACTTGGGTCCACGGAGCCTCTGGGTGTAAGAGGCCCGATTCTCACTGCCTCCCGCGGGTCAGCGTGGATTCCTGCATGGTGTCCGCCTGCCCGCCGTCTGCCTGCCTTCTGCCCGTGCCTGTCACCGTGAGCCGGACCCACCTCGATGCCAGTGCCTTGGGGATTTTCCCCAGTTGTGAACATTGTCTAGCAAGCTTGTTGGGGCCTGAGTGGCCCCACCCCGTTCATCGTAGGCAGCAGCCCTGGCTAGTGATGGGCTTCCCCTGTGATGACTGCTGTTAGTTGTCAGCTCTGAGGTCAGCTGGATGTCTTCGTGTTATATTTAAAGTTTTCAGTTTTGTTATCATGTGCTGTACAGTCAAAGCCGACTCATAACTGACCTTCCAGTGGTTTTTCAGAGGCTGTAAATCGCATGAGAGGAGAATTCCACTCCTTGTCCCATGGAGTCTCTGGTGGATCCAAGCTGCTTGCCTTTGGATTGACAGTGCAGCCTTCACCCACGAGGCCAGGCCTACATTTTCATTACTGTAGCTTTTTTTTTCATCACTGTCTTTATAAATCTGATATTTTTTTTTGTCTTGTGGGCTAAAAATATGAAAATTTACTGTTTCAGTATCTACTTCCTGCTTCTTCAGTTATGTACACATTAGATATATATTTATATATGGATATATATATAAATTAACAGTCATACATGCAGCTTGTCATAACTTGACTACGTCAGTAAGTCAGTCACTACCCGGCTTGGTGAACGGCCTCAGGCTTGAACGGCCTAGGCGCCCAGCTCCATGGCCCCTTCCCCCGGATCCTCGCTGACAGATTGAATCCACCAGCTGCTCCACAGAAGACAGACGGGCAGCCTCCTCCCACGTGATTTACTGCCGCTGAGGACCTGCTCAAGGGTCAGCGATGGGTCAGTTCCTCCTCGAAGGCAGTTTTGAGCTGATTGTACTGCGCACTTCCCGGGTCCTTTGTCCTGGTAGCACCCAGCCGTTTCCCCTTTATTCCCATTCGTGGTCACAGCCACACAGCTCACTACGTGAGCCTTGACAATTTCAGATTGAAAGCGATTCTGAAACTGTTCTCTCCCTCCGCACAGTAACTATTTACCTAAATGGTGATCAAACAGGATCCTAAAGGGCAGCTGGCTATTTCAGGAAATTCAGTGAAAAATTATTTGTTAAAGGAAAACATGACTCCCTTCTATGAAGTGTCGGGGGGAAAGTGCGCTGCTTCTTGTTAGGTGCCGTTGAGTTGACTGCATCTCGTTGCTGCCTAAAAACCACAGAGCTGAACCTCTCGGGCCCCATCTCCTCCTCCAGGTTCACGCCCGTTGTTCCACCCCCTGTCAGCCCATCTTGTTGAGGATCTTTGAGACCCTCCACGTGTCCAGTCACGGTGTCTTTTTTCCGAGGACTGGCCCATCCTGACAACGTGCCCGAAGTGTGAGAGACCAAGGTTTTCCATCGTTGCCTCAACAAACAGGTCTGTCTGGGAGGCAGTGCCTGCCGGGTGCCCCTTACAGGCAGAGATGGTGAAACCTGGTCTTTAGGCTTGTCATCTGGAAGGGATCATGTGAAGAAAGAGCGTCAGAGATAGAGAGGAAGACCCTGGAAGAGATGGGCTCACAGTGACGACAGCAGTGGACTTGAACATGTCGGCGGTCATGAGCTTGTTGCAGGATTGGGCCGGGTTCTGACGGGTTATTCACCGGAGTTCCTGTGGGTCATAGTCACCTCCGCAGCATCTAACAGCAACATCGTACACTGATAGGATTTCGTTAGCATTACAACGAGAATCTTAATCCCAGATGGGTTTCTGTTCACAACTGTCTGGGTGTAGGAGTTACATCTCGCACTTTGAGGATGATGATTCAGTGAATGAGACACCTTGTGGTGAGGATATGAATGAGATGACTCAAGACTTGTAGTCAGACTTACCAGGGTCCAGGGACACGTCAGGTATGCAAAGGGAACACGTGGATGGACCTGACGGTCACTTACAAGCAGTCAGTGGCTTCACACTTTGACAGTGATAATGAAGAGAAACTGAGGCACAGAGAGCAAGAAGGCCCCCCATCGTCTATCCAAGACCGCCATACCCCCAAACCTTCTGCCTCCTGTGGGCTCAGGCTGTGTGGTCTGGTGGGCAGGTTCCTGGGGTCCCCCCTGCGTAGGAGCGCTGTGGCTGCAGCCCCCCCTTGACTGTCTGTTTCTCCCGCAGCCTGATGTTCACCAAGGTGAAGCTAGAGCAAGTGCTCAAAGGCCCGGAGGAGGCCCTCGTGACCTGCAGGCAGATGCTGCAGCTGTGGCAGACGCTGTACAGCTTCTCGCAGCTGGGGTGAGTGACACCACCGTCCTTCGTCCCTCAGCGTGGGAGGCAGGGTCCGCGGGCAGTGGTTGCCGAGCAACAGTGAGTGCCTGCGATGTCTGGCGGTCTGGGGTGGTGGAGGACATTAGGAGAATGTAGAGCTCACTGGATGTGGGGCTTTTGACATTGACCGTCTACATGTAACCACTTAAGTAAGGCTCTTCCTCTGTGAGACATAAAGACCATGTGAATTGAGAGAAGGGAGAGCTGTTTATGTTGCGCACATTAGCATAGATTGGGCTCATCACAGAGCAAACTGAGATTCAGAGACCTTAGAACTTTTATCCAGATTAGTCATCCAGTAAGTGGTGCTGCTGGGACTTGAACCCTGGCCGCACGAGTCTTTCTTGGCTCCGTCTGAAAGATGGAGTGTGGGTCCTGGAGGACTACCGTTACTCCTGCCATTGTCCACGGTCTGTCCCCTGCTGTCGTCTCCAGCCAGGATTGGTTTTCTAAGTAGAAATCTCTTGTTCTCATTCAATGAGAACTTAGCAGGTCCAGTCCACAGGGTCTCCAGTGGACAGGAGCCCATTGTTTACCTGGGTGCCCCTGGGCCCTGCCCCATGTTTGCCTGGGTGCCCGCAGGCCCTGTCCAGTGTTTGCCTGGGTGCCCCTGGGCCCTGCCCCATGTTTGCCTGGGTGCCTGCAGGCCCTGTCCAGTGTTTGCCTGGGTGCCCCTGGGCTCTGCCCGGTGTTTGCCTAGGTGCCCCTGGACCCTGCCCGGTATTTTCTTGGGTGCCTTGGTCCCTGTCCAGTGTTTGCCTGGCTGCCCCTGGGCCCTGCCCGGTGTTTGCTTGGGTGCCTCAGTCCCTGTCCAGTGTTTACTTGGGTGCTGCCCAGTGTTTGCTTGGGTGCCTTGGTCCCCGTCCAGTGTTTGCCTGGGTGCCCCTGGGCCCTGCCCTGCCCTTTTCTGGCCTTTAGAGGACCCTACTCTGGTGGATCTTTGTGTTTTCACAGAAGCTCTGGACCCAGAATGAGTCGGTGACCTACTTTGCAGGGAGTTGTGTTGCTAACACAAAGACTGTTCTTCTCTAGTGGTTCAATCCACCAGTGGCTCCGAGGGAGAAAGACTGGCAACCTCCTCCCATGCAGTTTACAGCCCCAGAATCCTGCCAGAGGCCCGGCTCTGAGTTGGTTCTGACTCTACAGCATTGAGTTGAGGAGGTTTTCCAAATCCTTAGTAGACAGTCTGGTGATAAGGAAACCCCAGGGCAGTCAGACAGAGTAAAACACCCCTGAACCCAAGAGATGCTGGGGTGGGACAGGACCAGCAGGCAGAAGCTGCCAGGAGGGGTCGCTGGTAGGGGCTTTTTAGCTGGGTACTCTGAGGGCAAGGGCCGTTGGTGACCTCATTCTGCTTCGTGGAAGCAGCACCCAGATGAGGCTCGAGGGCAGCGGGAGTGTAATGGCTGTGAGGGTTCCCGCTGAGCCCAGCTGTCAGCCTTATGGAAGACCACGTCCCACCTCCGAGAGCCAGGCAACCAGGAGCTCTCCCCTGAGCAGGGCAGTGGTGTCTGCCTTGAGGTCCCCCAGTGAGCTGAGAGTCTGCTGGGCCTCATCCTCGCCTGCACCCCAGGCAGCTCCCCACCAAAGACAGGGAGGCTCAGTTAGGAAGTGGGCCACCCAAGGCTGATGAGGGCTTTTCCAAGTTCTGTTAGCTTAGTGTTAGTCAGTTAGCTTAGTGCTGTCAGTGCAAAGGTAAGCATTTTGAATCCAACAGTTGCACTACAGGAGAGAGACAGGCAGTTGCCTCTCGTGTGATTTATTGCCTCAAACCCCGCCCCCCGGAGGGTCAGCTATGGTCAGTTCCCACTCAAGGGTCGACAGCAAGAGCTTTCCCGGGGAGCTCTGGTGGCGTTGTCCATGGCAGTGTCACTGCTGAGTCAAAGGCGTCCTCCGGTCGATTAAGTCCACAGCAGCGCTGCAGTGCAAGGTCTCCTCCCATGTCATTTACAGCCTTGGAAACCCACTAAGAGGGTCTCAGCTCCATTAGCTGGTTCAGGCCCTGAGTTGAGTTGAAAGGCTTTCCCAGGAGAGAAAACCCAATCTTTGAGCTCAGTCCATTTCCTGTTGCTCTTCCTCTGCATTTCCAAGATTTCCGTCTTCACAGGCCACCTCTTTCTACCTCAGAGTGGCTGGTGGATTGAACTGCTGACTTTTTGGTTACCAGCTTACCTTGTCCAGGGAATAGAGCGGATTCTTTTCAGAGCCTGGGGCTACAGAGCGGAGACCAGGGCTGGTAAAGGCTGCTTTCAGGACCCACCTGTCCGGGCCAAGATCTACAGTCCGAGGGGCCAGCGTGCCACAGCCTCCTCCCCACCCCCAGCCTCCCGCTCCCTCCAGAGTGTTCCTGTATCTCCTGCTCAGCTCCCTGGCAAGCTGTCGTCCGCTCTTTCGCCTGGACAAGCCCCACCAAGCGGCAGAACCCAGTGCCAGCAAGTCAGTTCTGACTCCTAGTGACCCCACAGGCCCAGTAGAACTGCCGCACAAGGTTTCAGAGTCCGAGATCATTTGGGAGGAGCCTGGTCCTGCATTAGGTAAAGCGTTCAACAGTTGACACAAAGACCAGCAGATCATTCCATCGCAGTTATTAGCCTAGGAAGCCCTGTGGAACCACTGTCAGTAAGGTTGCTGTGACTCGGGATCAAGTCGATGGCATTGAGTTTGGTGGTTTTCTTGCTTGTTTTGGTGTCTAATCTCCACGGCAGCGTTGCCACATCTCTCTCCCAAGGAGTGGCTGGGGTGTTCGAACTGCCAACCTTTTCCGTTAGCAGCCAGGAGCTTAACTGCCGCATCACCAGGGCTCCTTACGGTCTGAGGGGCCGCTTCCGAGGTTCTGGTCACCCATCAGGACCTGTCAGATGTCCTCTATCAGGGGGAGTCCTGCCACCGGCCTCCATACGTTTGCCCCTTTTTTGCGTCTTTGCTAATCCCTCGTCTTAGGCCATCTTCCCCCGAGCAGGAACCATGCGAACCTGGAACCAAGTGACAGGAAGTTCCCTAGATGCTTCATTTCTGGAGCCCTACAAGAGCCCTTCTCAGGGTTGAAAGGGGGAATTAGTAAGGAACATCTTAGGTGTGCTGCTTCCCCAAGCCACTCCATGTTTGCCACCTGCCAGTTTTTTCATTTACTCTTCACAACAACCTGGTCAAGTCAACACCTGCTTTCACGCCAAGAGGTCTGAGGCTTAGCGAAGGCTGGGCAGTGGTGGCCCCGTGATTTTAAGCTCATGGCTGGCTCCCTTACACTCCGTCGGGGAACCTTTCAGGAATGGGAAGGGGGTGGGTGTCTCAGTTTCCACGTGCTATGAAACAAATGTCCACAGGCTGTGTGGCTTGAAACACAGATGTTTATTGTCTACCAGCTCTGGAAGCTGCAAGTCCACATTCAGGGTGCTGACCAGGCCATGTTCTCCTGGAAGGCTCTAGAAAGTGATCTGTTCGTGGTCTCTCCAGTTCCTAGTAGCCTCAGGTGACTCGTGACAGAATAACCCCCGTCTCCAGCTCCATCATCACGTGGCCCAACCACCTCCTTCCCACACTTCTGTGTCTCTTTTATAAGGACAGCTGTCATAAAGCACTCACGGCCCATTCCAATGACTTCACTCATGTTCATTTGACCAATATGCAGCAATGCTGAATCTAAACAAGGTTCCATTCACAAATGAGATTAGTGTGTCACCCATAGGTTCTGGGTGCAATTCAAGACGGTCCATGAGATGAGGTGACACAGAGACTGTGACAGTGGACTTGATCGTGGCAGAGGCCATGATGGCACAGGACTGGGCAGGGTTCAGCTCTCTTGTTCGTGGGGTCTGTGAGCCGTAATCCACTTGATGGTCCCTTGTAGCCAGTCTGGAAATGGTGTCTCATCCTTCACAGAGGCAGTGCCAAGGTCACTGGTGACCCAGGGAAGGGTCATGGCTTTGGGCAAAGGGAAGGGTGTCACCCTGATGACGTTCTAGATACATGATGGGGCTGAGGCCCGGTCGGGAACAAGAAGGTAGGAGCTGGGTACACAGAGGAGAACAGAAAGGACGTTAAGGGGGCCAGAAACCTGAGCAGATCACAGGTTGAGGAATAAAGTGTGTGGTCAGAAGACTGCTGGTCCAGCAGACAGGTCAGCGCCATGTGTGTGCATGCATATGTGTGTGTTTGTGCAGGCATGCATCTGCCTGTGTGCGTGTGCAGGCACGCGTCTGCATTGGTGCAGGCATGCATCTGCCTGTGTGCGTGTGCAGGCACGCGTCTGCATTGGTGCAGGCATGCATCTGCCTGTGTGCGTGTGCATGCATGCATCTGCGTTCGTGCAGGCATGCATCTGCCTGTGTGCGTGTGCAGGCACGCGTCTGCATTGGTGCAGGCATGCATCTGCCTGCATGCGTGCATACATCCACTCAGGTGAGGCAGCCTCCCCTGCCCGGCTCTGCCTCACGCCTGGCCCTCTCTGCCTTCCAGCGGCGTGGAGAAGGAGAAGGATGGCAGCTTCGGCGAGGGCCTCACGCTGAGGAAGCAGAATGGCATCCACCTGACCCTGCCTGATGCTCATGAGGCCAACTCAGGTAAGAGACGGGCGGGGCCTCCAGTCACAGGGTCCCCCGCCCACTGTCCTGGTGTGGCCCAGGGAGGGTCTGGCGGAGCTGAACCATCCCTACTGCTGCAGGCTGCTGCCCAGGCCTGTGCTTGAGGACGTCTGTCAGCGACGACCATGGAGGGGTGACCACTGACCGTGGAGGAGGTAGGGGGCCTGGACTAACCAGAGGCAGACCCACCCTCCTGGGGCTGCAGTGGAGACAGGGGACCAGCATGGAAAGACGGCTGTGGAATACGAACGGGTTTCCCCTAAGCTGACGCTGGAGATGAAGCTTCTGTTTTCTCAGTAAAATGAGTCAAGTAGGAAGGAATGGATTAAGTTTATAAAGCTGGTTGGTTTTCCTGTAAGAGTCATGCTCCAATCCAAAAAACTGAAAACTCTTGACTTGTGGTCAGATCAGAACCGAGCCATAGCTGACCCTCCAGCAGGTTTTCAGAGGCTATAAATTGCACAGAGATTGTCCAGCCTTCTCTCGGAGCAGCTGGTGGACTCGAAGCACGTGTGTGTGGTAGCAGTGCAGCTCCTTATCACCAGGCCAAGATGTAGGGAATCCAAGTCAGTTTCAGAACCACAGATTCACATTTTTAAACTGAAGACCCTTGATTCAAGCAGAATTTTGAAATGTCAAACATATATTCCTTTTATACGATCATTCATGTACATTGTTTTTCATATACCTCACATTTCATACAATCACTTAAATTGTATTTTCTAGAATTAATCACTTTTACGCTGTGCCTGTTACCAAGCTGTCTTCAATCCCCCGAGTCTTCCCTGTTCCTTCCCGCCCATCTGCTCACTCACCTACTGACTTCCCTCCCGGTGATGCCCCTTCTCCTTTTTCTGCCCCCTTCTTCCCTTCCCTTTTTGAACATTTACACACATCTTCCTAGTTATCCTTCTGTTTTCATGATAAAAGTCTTACGTAGTATTTGTTCTTATAATAGCTCTCACCTCTGCTCTATCCAGAGCCAGTCTCGCTGCCTCCGACACACCTGCCACCATTTCCGCAGTCGCTGAATCATTTCATCTTATTCAGGGTCTTCCTCTTCTGTGCTGTCCCTCCACTCTTCCAAGCATGATGTTCTTCTGTAGGGCCTGGTCCCTCCTGGCCATATGCCCAAGGTATGTGAGACAAAGCTTCAGAATCCTTGCCGCCAAGGAGCAGCCTGGTGTCACCCTCTCTAGGATAAACTTGTTTGTTCTCTTGGCTGTCCATGGTATGTTCAGTACTCTTCTCCAGCACCACGACTCAGAGGCATCAATTCTTCGCTCATCCTTGGTCATTGTCCAGCTCTCTGAGACATAGCAAGTAATTGCAAAGATCATGGCCTGGATCAGGCATACCTTAGTCTCCAAGACTGACATCATTGCTCTTTAGCACTTTTGAGAGGTCCCTGACAGCAGCTGTTCCCAGAACAATTCATCTTTTGATTTCTTGATTGGTGGTACCAAGAGATTTGATTGTAGAACAGAGCAAGCTGAACTTGTTAACAGTCTCAGTCTTTTTTCCATCCATCATGGTGCTGCCATTTGACCCAGTGGTGAGAATCTGTCTTGATGTTGAGCTTCAGTCCTTATTGAAGACTACAGTCCTTGACCTTCTGCAGCAAATGCCCACAGTCTTTCTCAGTTTCAGCAAGCAAGGTTGTATCGTCTGCATAATGCAGGTTTGTTCATGAGTCTTCTTTTCAATCCTGATACCACATTCCTCCTCATAAAGTCCAGCCTCCCAAAGGCATAGAGACAAGATGCATCCCTGACACACTCCTTTCCTGATTTAGAATCATGAAGTGTTTCCTTGCTCTGCTCTGACGACTGCCTCATGGTCCAAGTATAGGTTTTGCATGAGCACAATCAGTGTTCTGGGATTCCCATTATCCTCGAGATTAGCCACGGTTTGCTGTGATCCACATAGTCAAATGCACAGTCAATGAAACACAGACTTTCCTCTGGTACTCTTTGCTTTCAGCCAAAATCATCTGACATAATGTGTCTGGTGCCACAAACTCTCCTAAACCCGGCCTGTATTTCTGTCAGTGTACTCTCCCAGTCGTTTTTGGATAATCTTCAGCAGGATTTGCTTGTGTGTGGTATCAGTGATATTGTTCAATAATTTCCACACTCTGTCAGTTTGTCCTTTTTTGTGGAATGGGAATAAATACAGATCTCTTCCAGTCAGTTGGCCAGATAGTTGTCCTCCAGGTTTTTGGCACAACCTGGTGAACTCGTCTTTCCCAGTCAGTCTTTGTTAGAGCTCTGGCAGCCTAGTGGGTAAGGAGAAAGCAGGCATTTCAGATTCTTCAGGTTCTTGTGATGTCTAAGAAGCCTTGGTGGTGTAGTATGTTCTCTGTTGTGCTAACAGAAAGATTGGTGGTTCGAAACCACTTGGTGCTCCAAGGGAGAAAGTTGTATCTTTCTATAAAGACTTAGAGCCTTGGAATCCCCGTGGAAGACTGCTCGGAGTTGATTTGACAGTAGTTGGTTTGATTTTGAGGTGGGTTTAATGTCTATGCCGTCTTACCCAATATACCACTTGTCTGGTTTCTTTTTACTCCCTCTTGTTACACACTGAGGCACCTCTTGTTTTGCTCCAGTGTTACAGGCGGTGGTACGGTGAGCATCACAGTCTCCATTTGTAATTCTTTTCCTTATCCTGCCTGACAGCCCCACGGGAAGCTCCTCTCACCAGCTGTCTGCAAGACGGTGGGGTGAGAGTGCTGGTGAGTGGGTCTAGGTACCAGCTTTCCATTAACAAGGCTGATGTAGGGGACCGCTCTCTCCCCATGGGGCTGACAGTTACTGCCCTGGGCTTCTGATTTCGAGTCCTTGGACCCTGCCACTCAGCCCTCTATTTCTCTTGCTCCACAGGCTCTCAGCGGGCATCGTCCATCGCAGCCTCTCGGCTGGAGGAGGCCATGTCGGAGCTGACCATGCCCAGCTCGGTCCTGAAGCAGGGACCCATGCGCATGTGGACCACGCTGGAACAGATCTGGCTGCAGGCTGGTGAGTGACTGACTCTGCAGCACCCACCTGCCTCCATGCAGGCCTCTCAAGCACGCTGAGCCCTGTCTCGTCCTCTGAGGGTGTGAGGACCCCCAGCCAGGTTTACCTGGACAACAAAACGGGCCAAGGGTCAGGCCTGGAGTTCCAGCTCCAGCCATCTTTCCTTTGCTTCAAGACAGAAATGCAACCAGGGGGCTCCTGAGAGGCCGGGCTGGTGCAACTCCGTCTCACATAGGTGGGCATGCTGTCAGGAGAGGCCAGGCCTCCTGCTGGGAAAGGTGGGGGGGGTCAGAGAACGCGAGGAAGGCCCTCCACGTGATGGGCGGACAGAGCGGGTCACCTGGGCTCGAGCATGTCGGAGGCGGCGAGGTGGGTGCAGCGGGGCTGGTTCAGATCTGTGGTTCACAGGCACGGGGTGAGTTGTGTCAGTGGTGCCGAACAAGAGCTATAATTCAGAATAGTCAGACGAGGGTGACTTCCCTTGCTGTTAGGATAGCTTTGCAGTCCTGCGCCCAGAGACTCGGCTCCTTTCATTTAGGGGCTCAGATACCCGTCAGTTATGCTGACTCACGTGGTCCAGGACGGCTCCTCCCCAGTCACAGCCCAAAGCATGAGACTCCCGAGGAGGGGCCAGAGGGGGCTCTTCTCCGTGTTAGACGATGTTCTGGAGTCTGAACGTCTCATCCTCGAGATCCCGTGGCAGTACCTTAGTCACATGACTCAACCTCACTGCAAAGGACTCTGGGAAATGTCATTTTTCTGCTGCCCACCGGTGGCCTTGTGGGGAAAGTGTTGCCTGGCAACCCAAAGACAGGTAGTTTGGATCTACCAGCTGCTCTGTGAGAGAAAGGAAGGAAGGCAGGCGGGCAGGCAGGCAGGCAGGCAGGCAGTCAGTCTCTTCCTTCCTGTTCAGTTTACAGCCTCTCAAAATCTCCTGGAGGTTCAGCTATGAGTCAGTTCCAAGTTGATGGCACTTAACAACAAACAACCTATTATGCCCATGTGAGTTCCTGGGTGCTGCAAACAAATCATTAAAGCGCTCAACTGCTAACAGAAATGTTGGAGGTTGAAGTCCCCCCAGAGGTACCTCGGAAGGAAGTGCAGTGATCGTAAAAAAAAAATCATCTGGTGCAAACCCCATGGAGCAGTTCCGAACCAGCCTGAGCCGCCCCAAACCGGGAGTCGGTGTAGCCCAGTATTCTTTTTCTTTTCTTTTTTCTTTTTTTTATGTGTCCCACTAAAAGCCAAGGATCTATCAGTGTAGAAGAAAGCAAGAGCAGACGGTGGGCTGTGGTCACAGCTATCTTCCGTGCTGAGAACGGGAGGTTCTGGAAGTTTGCTCCTAGTGAACTCTGGTCCCCATTTTGGCACCATCACCAGCATGAGCATCTACCGAGCTGCTGTTGCGTGAAGGCCGGCCAGGAACCTCTCCAGGGCGGTCCCTTCTCCCTAGAGCCCCCCCCCCCCCCCGCCCTGTTCTGATAATATGGTCATTACAGCCCCTGGGTTCCTCTACTTCTGCATGCCGATTCCACCAGCTGTAGCCAATTTCCAGGAAGGGAAATGCTCCCTTTATCATTTGGAACAAGTTAATCTCTCTGGTTTGGTTTAAGATAAATTACGCCTCAGTCTGTTTTGCCAGTTAAGCCCCATCCTGACTTCACTCTGGTTGGGAAATGTCACATCCTTCCTTTCCCAGCTCCTGGGGTCCCCTCCTCCCGTCGCAGGCCGCCTCCCATTCCAGTTCAGTGAGAGAATCCTCCCAGGGGTCTGCTCCGTGGAGACCACCTCAGGGGTGCTGCCTCTGGCAGAGGGGCTGTGCCCACCTTGAGGTGTTTTCCTAAGGGATGGGATACCTGTCCCCCCCGCTCATACCTGTCTGGACGGGGCAAACTGCGGAGCCGAGTTGGATGTGGGAGAGCTCACCTGTACTGGAGGCCCAAGGCTCATGACCACCTTGCTTTGAGTGAAAGTGACCTGAGCCTCAGCCCCCAGATGCCCATTTATACCAGGCCCTTAGCTCTGCGGACAAGCCTTCCAGTGGACTGGGGAAATGAGGGTGAGATCCCTTAGTATATACTATGGGCTCTGGTGGCATAGTGGGTAAGGAGTTGTGCTGCCAACCCAAAGACAGGTGGTTCGAATCCACCTACAGCTTCTGGATAAAGATGGGCAGTCTCCTGTATGCAGCCTGTGAAGACCTGCTGGAGGGTCAGCTAGCAGTCGGTTCTGGCTTATTCATTATATAATCCTAGTTAATGGGGGAAACTGTTTCCTCCTCTGGACCCCGTGTTCGCCTCTGCATGTCATGTCTCTCTCTCTCGCCTGGGCGTTTCCCTGTCCTCCTTCCCGCCCCTTTCCCCAGATCCCTCCCTCCCCCCCTCCCCCATTCTGGGCCCTCTTCCATCTCCCCGTTTCCCTGCTCTGCCATCTCCATTCTCCCCTCTCGGCCCACCATCCCCTCCTCCCAGCTTTTTTATTCCCTACAAGGTGCAAGTCAGGACCCCAAGCCCACCAAGCCTGTAACCCCTTCAGGAACTTAGTGAGGTCCCTGCTTTGGATCCCTGTAGTTTGTACACGACAATGGAGGGTCTTGGACTAACTTGTAGAATCTTTTAGACTTTTAGTTTCTGCGTTACTTCCCTGGAGTTCTCCCTCGTCCCTCCCTCTCACCACACCTTTGTTGTTGTTACAAGGTGCCACTTAGCCAACTACGACTATGGTGACCCTAAGAACCACAGCTCCGACCCTTGCCCTACCCTGTGCCATCGGAGCCCGTTGTTAACAGTCGCTGGGTCAGTCCATTTTCTTGTCTTCCTCTCCTTCTCTGACCCTCCACCCTTCCCAGCAGATGTCTCCATCCAAGGACTGGCCCCTTTTGACAACATGTCCAAAGTATGCGAGGGAAGTTGTCACCCTCCTTGTCTCCAGGGAGCACTCTGGTTGTACTTCCTTGCGGACAGACTTGATCATCCTTCTGGCAGTCCATGGGATAGTCAGTACTCTTCTCCAGCACCTCAGTCCAAAGGTGGAGGTTCTTTTTCAGTCTTTTTTAACTCATTGTTCAACTTTCAGATACACAGGACGCAACTGAAAACACCATGGCTTGGATCCGGCGCACCTTAGTCTGTAAACATATCCTTGCTCTTAGCACTTGGGGGAGGGCCTTGACAGCTGATTTCTTGAACACAAGTCCTTCTGCCTAGTTTTAGTGCCCAGGTGTCCAGAGGAGTCCAGTTCCTGGGATGGGACGCTTATTTTCTTTGCAGGGGACTAGGGCGGGGTGTCATTTTGATGACCCCACTGGAGGTCGAGGCCATGGACCAGGTTCTCTCCAGGTTCTAGCCTCCAGCCTCCTCCTGAAAGGTCTAAGGCCAGGGTCGTCTTAGTGGGCACATCCAATCTGAGAGACCACCTGAATGGCCTTCGGGCAGGCCTAGGACACTCACTCCCTCAGCTCAGCCTCTGGGTACGTGTCTGTGGAGACCACCCCAGCCCCAGGCCTGGATTGAGAGGTGGGCAGTGGTGTTGACATCCTGTTGATAAGGGGCCAGGCTCTCCCCCGATCTCTCCAAGCTCCCGGACAGATGGTTTCCGTTTTTAGCCCCAAGGAAGGCAGACACCAAGCAGGAGTGTGTGGAGAAGGTTGATGGAGAAGAGGGGACACACGGGGAGTGAAGGAAGCTCGAGAGGGTAGTCAGGGCCCTTTTACATGTGGCCTCCATGTGCGGGGGTGATGAGAATACAAGGAGAATCCCCACGTGGGTGTTTTTGTCTTTCAGGGTGGGCTGGGGGTGACCGCAGGGCCCAGCGTCCAAGGCAGGGCAGGAGTGGACGGGGCGCAGGCGTGGTGCCACCTCTGTGGCCACAGCATCGTAGGGAGCTCCACGTTTGGTAAATGGTGGGCAGGCCTGAGGGTGACTCCCTGGGGACCCAGACTGGGATGAGGGGTGCTTCCTGCAGCGCAGAGGCCTGCCCACACACACCCTGTGTCCTGGTCCCTCCTAACTGGGCCCAGGCTTATTCGTCAGGACCTGTTCTCGCTGCCTTTGGCTGGCTGGACAAGCCCAGGGCCTCGACTGGCTCCCCTTCAGGATGGAGGGAACCAAGGCGGCTGCTGTAATGGAAATCTGTTGATGTGGAGGCCTTTGAGGACGCTCTGGGGAGGCACCAGGCCCCGGGGAAGCAGGGTGGCAAGTAGTAAACAGCTTAATGAGCCAGGCAGGGGCCATGTGGGCCAGGGCTGGGGGAGCAGAGCTGGTGCCCAGCTCCTGACAGTGGAGGAAGCTTCCAGACACGGGTGCCCACTCACTTCCTTCTGTCCCTGCCTGTCCCTGTGACCTGGGCAAGTGGGCTGGGCCAGGTTGTACTTGTCAGTCCGTCCGCTTGCCTGCAGCCCCCAGGAGGGCTTTCCTGAGTCCCCGGCCGCCTCCTGCACGTACACTCACAGTCGCCCTGCGTCTCACGTCAGGATCTGACGGCTCTTCTCGTGGGAAGACCGGGCTCACGGCACTTGTAGTTGGCTGATGACTACAGTCAGAAGGCAGCCTGCAGGGAGCCGGGCGGCTCAGGAAGGGCCCTGACCAGAGCTGACCGCCGGGCTGAGGTGGCTTCACTTCAGAGCTCAGATATGACCAGCGCCGCCTCTGTCTTTTCCTCCAGAGTCTCCTTTCCACCAGAGAACAAAGTTCCCTCGGGAAGCCCCGTGATGCTCGGGGGTGTCCTTGTCGGGCCGCCCTGACAGTCAAGCCTAAGTGCTGAGCTGCAGGCGTGGTCTTAGGCCAGGCACTGAGATCACATGGCTGGTCCGCGTTTTCAGCCTTTCTAAGAGCGTTCCGTGAGATTATCTGTTCTCCACCCCACCCTGGACACATTTGATTAGCCTAACCTCAGGGCTTACTTGGTAGATGGAGAAAAACCCTAAACTTGGCTAGCCATTTCGCTTTATTTGGACCCATAGTCAGCACCCGTGGTGGCAGCAGGCAGGAAATCTGCAAAGTGCAGAAGAGCAAGGTGCTGGTTTTAAAGCCTAAGGTGCGCCTGGTGTGAGCCACGGTCCTTTCAACTGCTTCCTGCGCTTCTGAAAGTCGATCACTGAGTAAGGAAGACGGAATCAGAATCACTGCCTCTGAACGGTGTTGGCGAAGTTTTAAAGAGCCCATTTCATACACGGACTGCTGCAGGACAAACAGGTCTGACTTGGAGGAAATGCAACCAGGGAACTCCTTAGAGGGAAAGCGAGTGAAATTTGGTCTCACATAAAGAACAGTTGGAATGAAGTCAGTCACGGGGACACACACGTCCCCGCAGCCAGGCTCTGGAGGCAAGCACCCCATGGAAGCCCTGGCGTCATAAGTTACCCTTCCCCGGGCGTGGGCAGTTCCTTGCCTCTCAGTGCCAGTGTCCTCATTTGGGGAGTCGAGTGGCACTAGAAGATCCTGTTCCTCCAGGCTGGGTGAGGCTGTCGGTGTGCCCGGCGGATCGTAACTCGATTCATTGATCTCGAGTTGGAACCGACTCATAGCTGACTTTCCAGTGGGTTTTCAGAAGCTGTAAATTGCACGGGAGATTTATAATCTCCTGGGAGATTGCAAGCTGGGATTCCAATCTCCTGGGAGATTGGGAGCTACAAACTTCTGGGTTAGTGGCCCAGCGCGCTCTCCACTAGGCCGCCTGGAATATGGTCAGCACCCCGAAAGTGATCACCTAGCGTCACTCCCGCACACACCCGCCCCCAGTGAGCTGTGACTCAGTGTCCATCACCAAACCCCGGGGCCTGGCAGTGCAGTGTGGGCAGCAGCACCCCTCCAGCCGTCCTCACCCCCCACTGCCCTTCTGGTTTGCAGCTGAGCTGTTCATGGAGCAGCGGCACCTCAAGGAGGCGGGCTTCTGCATCCAGGAGGCGGCAGGCCTCTTCCCCACGTCGCACTCGGTGCTCTACATGCGGGGCCGGCTGGCCGAGCTGAAGGGCCGCTTGCAGGACGCCCAGCAGCTGTACCAGGAGGCGCTGACGGTGAACCCGGACGGCGTGCTCATCATGCACAGTCTGGTGAGTGTCCGCGCTGCCCCGCGCTCCTCCACGGGGGGGCTCCGGGGTGCTGCTGCCCTCTGGCATCTGGGGAGGGGGCGGCGTCCTCTGTCAGAAGAGACAGTTCTTCAGAGGTAGAGTTCTCGGGGCCAGAGTGCACAAAAAAACAAAACTAGAAGGGTTGACTGTGGTCTTTGTGACTTCCTTTTTTGTCTTGGGCTTGGTCCTACGGGCTGGCTCTGTTGCTCACTGGATCCTTGTGTTAACGGCACATCCAGTCTAGGCAGATGTCACAGTGATCATCTTGGTGGGGGCCCTGCAGACCCCTCAGGCTGAGAGCAAGCAGCCTCATTTCAGAGCATGTCCTCTGGGCAGGGTTCTCGTATCAGGTGAACTTGAGGGCCTACTGAGGCTCAAGTGGTAAGAGGGCCTGCAGCCCCCAGCCCTCTGCTTGGGACTTGTTCATGGACTTAGGTACCAGGAGCTTCCTGGTAGAAAGGAGGCTTGAAGATAGAGTGCTGGCGGCCTTGTCCAGGCTTTCCTCCTGGGCGATCATGCACAAGTCTCTGAACGTCACTTTTACTTCCCCGTCCGGGGGGAACCTCTGGTCCAGGAAATACTGGTGAGTGGCTGCTCCGACGAGTGCTGTCGACTCTAGGCCATGTTCTCTGGGTCTTCCTGCCTTTAGTTGTTGCTTTCAGAAAGCAGGTGTCAGAACAAATGGAATGATCTGAAAAGGATAAAGCCTGTATGTGCATAAGTGAGTTTTGAAATACAGCTTTGGGGAGCCCACAGCTAATAACATGGTGCTCCCTTCACTGAATCCGAGTCCCCCCCTCAGACATCACTTGGAGAACAGGGTGAGGAGGCGGTCCTGAGGAGAACGGGGGAAGTTCAGGAGAGTGACTCCAGGGTGTGGGGGGCATCCATGCCAAGAGGCCTGGTTTGTTACCGAGCAGCATGGGGAGTGAGATTTCAACTCTGTGTCAGGACGGTCGTTACAGTTCTTCGTCTGCCACAAACCTGGTATCCTTGGTGGGCCTGTTGCCAAGAGATGCTGATGTCCTTTGGAGGAGGAGCTGGGCTCGGTCATCTTCCGGAGGTCCCTCCAGTCTTGAGGACTTGGAAAAGGGACCAGAGCACAGATTCCGGGGACACAGAGTCCTTTTGCTTAGTGTGTGTGCAGCAGTGCCCCAGCCCACACCCCACCCGCCCTTGGCTTGGCCAGTGTTTGCTCTTCACAAGGCTGTCCTCCTGACTCCCACGGTCCTGACAACGGCCTCTGACAGCGCCCTGTCCCAAGGTCACAGGCAGAGACGGGGCATACAGGCTCTGCCGCCAGGAGACACTAAGACCTCACCTTCCACCTCCTGACACCCAGCCAAACCAGCCACACTTCCAGTAGTGAAGTCACAGTGTACTGCGTTCCTTTTATGCTTATTATTGTTCGTAGCAATCTTCCGGAAATGGAAGCAGTTTCCTCAGGCGGGTTTCCATGGTGACCGAATAGCGGCCCAGAGTGGCTTCCTGCAGCTGCTGCTGAAATGGGTTCTTTCTCTTCCTGGGGTTCCTGGCTGATTCGATGGAGCTGGAACCCGGCCTGCCCGCTTTCAGTGACAAGCAGGCCAAAGGGCTGGTGTCGTGGACAGTCCTGTCCATGCACTTGGTTCCTGCCAGCATCCTGCGTGGCTGCAAACGGAAGAGCAGACTCCCCTCCAGGGAAGAGTTTACGAAGTGCTCTTTCCCCAAAGACGGGAAGGCTTTGGCATGGGCCTTCCCTCAGCCAGGGGTCTTCCCGGAACTGGCCCGGGAGGCAGGAAATCTATCATCTCATTCTGGCTCTGGCCCTGAGTCAGTCACATGATTACGGTTGATGCCCCTTTGTAAAATGCTGGAGAATCCTCATTGTTCATACACCATCGTATTAATCATATGAGGTGATGGTGATGCATGAGAAAGCACCTCTAAAATCTGCAGCACAAGCCAGGGAAGAAGATGCAGCATGTGCACCCCACCCCTCCAGGCTGGGCAATCTACCTGTGACAGACATGGCTAATCGATCACAACAGCCCCCCCCCGTGACAGATGACAGACATAGCTAATCAATCACAATATGTTCCCTTCCCCCCCCCTTCAGACTCTGACCTCTGACAGACTTGGCTAATTGATCACAGTACTTCTCCTTCCCCTGAACACAAATGTGGCTTCAGGAACCTTATTAACAAAGTGAACCACTCCCAGGCAGTCCAGAAGGTCTAGGCATTTATGTTAGGGGGTCATTGTCAAAATAGTCAAGGGGCACCAAGAGCTGTATCTGGTGGCTCATCTTTTTTGAACTCCAGAGCTTGATTTTGGAGGAGGGACAACCAGGGTGCTCCTTGGAGGCAGGAATGGTGACATTTCAGCTCACTTGATTTGGTCATGTTGTCAGGAGCTCGTTCTTGGGAAAAGACATGCTGGAAAAGGTGGAGGGTCAGAGAGAGAGGAAGACCTTCCACAAGGTGGACTGACTGAGAACTCGAGCAGGGCCGAGATGGGGAGGACGGCGCAGGAGAGGCAGGTTCAGAGCTGTTGTTCACAGGGTCTCTGGGACTCAAGGTCCGTTTGTCAGCACCTACCAACCATACAGGGTTGACTTTGCTGTTTACTAGCCAGTGAGGTCAGTGCATGCCACAGACCAGCCCCCTGCCCAGCTAAGCTCCCAGGAAGCCTGCTGGGAGTGGACAGGCTGCCACCTGCACCTGTGGGACACTTTGGCCCTCTTCTCCCTGGAACAAATTCCAGAGCACAGGACTTTCCTGACCCCTCTTCAGTCCAGGTCCTGGGCCCCTTACCAACTCCTGCCCCGTGCAGTGATGGAGCTCTCTGCACCTGCTCCGTCCTGTCTCCCCAGAGCTTTGTCTTCCTGCAGCACCCCAGAAGTGGGCCCCCCTCCTCCTGGCGCACCCTGGCAGTCAGGGGCCACTGTGAGCCCTCGGCTGTGAGCTTTGACTTTTGGACTGGAGTTTGTGCAGCGGTCCTGGCCACGTGCCCACGGTCCTGGAGAGACAGGCGCCAGCCTTGTCTCTTGGCCTCACGCGCTCTTGCCTGGTGATGAATTAGGTCCCACACTGTTCCCTCTGCTGACGGCTCTGTACGTGCATTTGAGGGATGGAAGGAGCCCCTGCCGTAGGATTTGAGGTCAAGGAGCTGCACAGTCCCCCTCCCTGATGGGAAGGCTGACAGCAGTGCCCCCCCATTACTGGAAGCCACGTGATGCTTCTACACCTGGGTGTGTCTGTTGTACTTGATGTCGAGTAACACATCAGGCCCTTCTGATCACATGGGACGGTGGGCGGGCTTATGAGAGCAGAGAGCTGACAGATCCACAGAGGAGTTTCTGTCACCATGTGCCCTGAAGCTTAGTCCACCTTGGACCAGGCTGGCTTCACTTGGGTTGCTGGAGGGTGATAGTCATCTGCTGTGGGGTCCACGGCCCGGGCAGGGCCCTGACCACCCACTGTCCTGAGCTGCCTGGATTGGGTTTGGAGCCCATGTCAGAGTTTGAGGGCTGTGTGCACCGTCTAATCCTGCCTGAGCTGCACTTGCATCTGACTTGCCTAAGTTCCACCAAGCTCTGTCCCCATCTGTGAACAAGGACCGCAGCGGGGAGCACCAGGGCTGCTGCTAGAATGAGGTCACGGATTCTGTGTCGATGGCACAGTATTGAGGTTATTTTTGTCGTTTTTCTCTGAAGTGTGGATCCCAAGATGGGCCCAGGATCTCCTCAGGGAGCACCCATGTACACAGCTGTGTCCTAGACCAGAATGTGCAGATCACCCACAGGGTGGTGAGATGTGGACATGGTGTGAGCTTAGGGTAACCTTAGCTTTGGGGGTGGGGGGTGCTCAGTGGGAGTTGCCTGAATCAGGAGGAGGAGATTCGGGACTTCTCAGCTCTGCGTTGGTCTCTGAGGCCACAGACAAGCTGTGAAGGCCAGGCCCTCGCGTGACACGGGTCTCAGCCAGCTCTGTAGTCCCCTGGCTGATGGAGGAGAGGGGTCCTGGGCTTCTCCCTGCCCCTCTGTCAGAGCTGCGTCTGGCATCTTAGAGGGCTCGGCAGCCTAAGGAAATGGAAGGACCTAGAAGTCTCCCTTCAAAAAAAGTTATTGTTTTATTGTGATTTGAGTGAAAGTTGACAGAGGAAACTGATTTCCCAAACATTCTGTAGGTAAGATGTGGCAGAAAGGGCGGCCCCCAGAGAGGCGACCTTCACCACCGGGACAGCTTTGTAAGCCAGGCTCCAGAGAAGCCCTGGGGGAAGTGGTAGGGTGCTTTTCTATAGTGACAGGAGTTAAATGACAATGGACCAGACCACCTTAGTATGGAGAGCTGGTTCTGCAGGTGACCCTCCCACGTTAGGTCGCCTCCCGGGGTCGTATTAGCACTTTACCCACCTCCTCCCAGTGTTTCCCCTTTCCACTCTTCCTCCTCCCCTGCTCCTTCCTGTCTTGGGCAGATGCTGTCCCTTTGATCTTGAGAAGGTGACCTTTTGGCCACCGTGATGTTAGTGGCACCTTCAGTTGTGTATGTGTTGTGTGGCTGGAGTGGCTTCTGGTCAAGGCCTGAGAGGTGGCAAAAGAGCCTTTGGTTTTCAGAGGCGCCTCCCTCCGTGCGCGGGCCTGTCTGCAGGACCGGAGAAGCAGTGCTGTTTGTTGGCAGAAAAGTTCCAGGGGAATGCCGGGTTGCTTCATTGAGCAATCTCCTGTTCATTCCTCCTCAGACTGCTTAATCTGAATTCCCTGATGGACAAAGGGAAGAGGAAGGATTAGAGAAGCTTCTGGAAGCTCAGTGCCAGGTGAAGTTAGGCTGTTGTTGTTGGGTGCAGTCCCGTCGAAACTGCACCACAGCGAACCCTCCAGTGGGTTTTTAGACAGTAAATTGCATGGCACCCCACGCTGACCTCCGGGTACACTCAGGGACCTTGGCTCTGGTCACTAGACTGATGTGTGGGCCCCTGACGTCCACCAGCAGCTCTCTGACAAGGACGAGAGCGGAAGTTCTATAATCTGGACATAGACTCCAGGTGGAGCGTGTAAGGGAGAAAGGGGCGGTGCAATCACAGCCTTGAAAACCCGCCGCAGGACGAGCCGAGTCGGTTCTGCCTCGATGGCACCGACAGCAGCCGTAGATCATGGTGGCACCGCTGATCTCCCTCAGCCCTGGACTCCTTCCCCTTGTCCAGTACGCCATATGCCCCACCGGGCTGCCTCGTCAGAGAAGGAAGCTTGGGAACTGCTCCCCAGCAGGGCCTTTTCCTCTGAGGGGACAGGCTTGGCCTTTCAGCCAGGTCTCAGGCAGGCTGGCGGTTATTTGTAGACGTGGGGCCAGCTGAGATGGGGGGGCAGGTTGTCATCTTGGCCCCTATGAGTCTGGTCCCCCGTCGGGTAGGACAGGCGAGGCTGACAAGGCTCCGGATGCTGGAGCCCTGTGCCTCCCTCGCAGGGAGTGTCTGGCTGGCGGGGGTGAGGGGGCCCCCCCACACCCCAGGCTCAGCCCCAGGTCCCCAGCCACGGGCCCCTGGGACCAGAGGTTCCAGCTGATTCCCCACTTCCCAGCTGGAGAGGCTGTTAGAGAATCCCAGGAATGCATCTTGAGGTCAGAAAGAGAATTCCCAAAATAACTCGTATAAATAGTTGAGAAACAGGAGCTCTGAGCCTGGCCCACAGCAGGCCCAGCATGGGGACTGGTTCCCAGGGCGGTCCCCAGCCCGCAGGACCCTATTCTTCTTGGTGCCTCTTCCCACCCTGACAGGGAAGTTCTCAGAGTCTGCACAGTGGAGGGGCCCAGCACTCAGGCTTTGCCACGCTCAGCCTGGGGGAGGCCTGACTTGGTGTCTAAGGTTGACACCCACCCCTACCTTCTGTCCTGTCAGGAGTGGTCAGGCAGGTGGGTCACCTGCTCCTTCCCTGACACCCAGGAAGTGCAACAGGGCATTCTAGGGTCCTATATTCCATAAACACCATTCAGGCCCTCTGTTCCCTGTGGTGGGGCGCAGTCAGGTGTGGGTGGTGAAGGGTGAGCAGTGATGATCCCCTCGGAGACCTCCTGTGGGCAGCAGGGAGCCCGGAGTGGGTGGTGTCTGGGGCAGGTGTCCGTAGATCGGTTACAGCCAGGGCCGCAGCCTTTCAGGCTGAGGTCGTCACCCCCTTGGGGGAGCATGAATGACCCATATTCCCTTCAGTCGGAGGTCTGATATCCCCACGAGAGGGACTGTTGTCATCACTGGGGGCCACAGGATGGTCCGTGCACTTGTCATCACAGAGCTGGAGCCCCGGGCGGTTTCCCCACAGTGACCCGGCTGCACATGCCTGCCCCTCACCAACCCCGCACCCTTCTCCAGCTTGTCCTTTCAAACCAGAGCTCAGCGTCCAGGCCTTGTACTTCGCCCTGGGCCCGGCCACCCTCGGTCAGCACTGGCAAACCACAGAGCTCTGATGTTTGGGGTTCACTCTGGTGCCAGTGCTTCCCCATCTCTCGCTGTGGGCTCTCTCCACCAGGCCCCCAGGTCCCGCTCTTGTGCTGGTGCCCTGCTGGCCAGACTAGGCACTGTTCCCTGGTCCTTGGCACCCTGACCCAGCCTGAGGTGCTGGAGGTCACCCCCTGATCGTCATGATCCTGGGGTTAGATCCCCTGCTCCCCTGAGTGCTGGCCCCTGTCCTTTGGGCCCGCCCAAGCACAGCCTCTCACTTAATTGGTTGTGTGCCTGCTCTCGGAGGACTTAGGAAAGCAACTTGTGCATCATCCCAGTGGGTCTCCATGGCAACAGAGGGCCTGACTTGGGGAGGGTGGGGAGGAAAATGGTTCAGCTAAATATGTGCATGGCCACCCGTAGGCGGCCGCCCAGCACTGAGCAGGCCCTCCCTGTCACATTGGCCAGGGTTGCTATGTTCAATATCCCCCCCCTTAAACAGCCAGTGTCAACAGGAGAGGCAGCAAATCCACAAGCCCCAGCTGACTCTTCTTCCTCACTCCCCCTGCTCTCTGCCCACCGTGGGTGGGAGGACTGGAAGCCAGGTTCATTTCCTACCCCCTTTTGTGACATTTGTCGCTTCCACCCTGCTGGCTGCACCCCAGATAGTGTCTGAATCTAACAGCGGATAACAGAGGTGCCGCTCTCTTGGGAGCAGGTGGGGTCATCTGGACCTTGTTAAAACGTGAATTCTGAGTATCAGGGCTGGAACCAGTAGGAACCTGGGCCACCCCTGCTCCCCGGGCCACCAGAGCCCTGGCAGGCAGCCCCGTCGATGCACTGAACCCCCTTCAGCACCCCGGCATGAAGCGCACTGAGGTCACTCATGGCCCATTTCCTGAGTAGAATGCTTGTCTACATGGCCCGATCAGAACCCACACAGCAGCCCGCAGGTGGGAAGGTCAGCTTCACCGTGGACAGAGCAGAGCTGGGGCGGAGTGGAGCCTGGACAGTCAGCTGCCTTCCCTCCTTCCTGACCCTAACTGCGCCCTGTGTTTGGTCTGCAGGGCCTGATGCTGAGCCAGCTGGGCCACCAGAGCCTGGCGCAGAAGGTCCTCCGGGATGCCGTGGAGCGGCAGAGCACCTGCCACGAGGCCTGGCAGGGCCTGGGCGAGGTGCTGCAGGCCCAGGGCCACAGCGAGGCTGCTGTCGACTGCTTCCTCACTGCGCTGGAGCTGGAAGCCAGCAGCCCTGTGGTGCCCTTCTGCATCATCCCCCGGGAGCTCTGACCACCGGCGCAGTATGGGAAGGACAGACACACAGCACAGGAGCTCAGTGGCGAGGACAGAAGCCCCTTATAGGGGTCGGTTGCTGAGAAACACCTCTCCAGCAGGCCCCACACCCCACTTTCCTTCCTGGGCCTGCGTGCTCGCTCACCTGGGCTGGGTGGAAAATATTTGCATCAGAAGCAAATCCTTTATCTCCTTGGAACTCAGCCCTGAGGCTTCTCTGGGCGCAGAAGGAACCAGGGGCCGGCCCTCCCCCGGGTTCCCCCTGCAGTGTGCCAGGCCGCTCACACTCATTTGGGCTAACTTCCCTGCATCATTCCTGACAATCAAGTCCCCAGCTGGGCACAAGCCATAGTCCCCAAGCTCAGCTGACACCAAAGATGGCCCCCAGCTCTGCGTCGAGAATTCCCTGCCTCTTCCTTGGTGCCAGGGAAAACAGTCTGGCTTGAACCCAAAAGTGGCTTTGCTGGGGTCTGGTGACTGGACTGAGGCCAGCCAAGGCCTGGCCAGGGACCTGCTGCCCTCACCCCCACCCATGCCCTGTGCCACACACACCCCAGCTGATAGACCAGGGTTCTTGATTACTCAGGTCCCATCCAGTTACAGCTTCTAGAATGTACTGACACGGAAGGGACATCTTTTGGGTCCCTCTCCCAGACTCGAGTTACCATGTGATGCCCTGAGATGCCCCACTTCCCTTCCGTGGCCAGTTGAGCACAATATGCTTTTTCTGGCATCGAGTGCCTTTTGGGTCTTGTGCCTGGCCGGGGCCTCTAAACACCAGCCTAAATCCTTTCCTTCCACCGCCCCCAGTACTCCACAAGCTCCCCCTGTGCTGCCCCTCAGGTTCTGGGCTGCTGGACCCACTCAGGTGACGTCTGCAGAGGTGGGTGTCCTCATGGACGCTTCCACCACCACTAGTCCCTGAGGCCTCACGGGGCTGGGATTAGGGATCCTGGGGGAGCAGGCACCCCAGCCCCTCCTGTGCATATCCAAGGAGGTCCTTAGAGTTCTCCCCAAAAAGTGAGCTCCTGGAGACCTATCAGGGAATTCCTTTCTAATATGCACTTTGTTTAGTTTTAAAAGCTCAGTTAGGTACAGAAAGCATGAAAAGACAGGGCAGGACCGCCTGCTAGCTGCTCCAGGCCAGCCCCGCCCCCGGGGTGCACAAACACCCTAAGGCCGGTCCCCACAGCTGCAGGCTTGCTCCCTGTGTACAGTATAGAAACTGATACATGTATGTGCTCCTTATATTATTACTCTGGACTTCTGTCAGGACAAGTGTAAACAAAAAGAAATGCTGGTGATTTTCCTTGGGGTGCCTGGAAATCTGGCACGGAATTCATGTCGACCCTGGCGTTCCCTGTGGGGATCCACAGGGTGCCCAGCCAAGCTGTTGGCTGGATCTTTGCAGGATCAATAAAGAGACCTTGACAGGGAAGCGGGTCCCTGCTGTTTTTGTTGACCCATGGCCCTGGGACAGCTCTGGGTCCTGCATGGAGGGGCCAATGAGAAGATGACTGAGGCAGGGGTGGTGACGCGAGGTAAGGACTAAAGTCTGGGGGCGCAGGGCCAATTCCAGCCTGCAGCGTGTCCAGAACCTGGTGGCCCTGAACCCTCTGCCACCTCCAGGACACAGCAGGGTGAGGCCAAGACCCAGAGAAGGGTCAGAGCAGCCACCTTCATGGAGGAGCCCGTACCTCAGCACCCCCACCAGAGAGGGTGCAAGGAGATGGCCCTCATTAACCAAAGTGCATCTCCTCACAGTGAGGGGGCGAGGTGCCCGGATTTAGGGTGCTAGCTTTAAGCAGAGGAAATGTCTTGGTCTCTTTTCAGCTTCTGTTCCTGGGTGGTGGGCTTTGCCTTGGGGTCCCTCTCCCCCATCTCAGCTTGCTCATGTACTAGTTTAATCTCGTCAGTAACTCAAAAGACAGTGACTAAAGATACCCCAAAATCATACCCACAGCCACTAAGTGAATTCCAATGCATCAGTCTTACAGGATGGAGTCCACCTGGCCCAGGGCGTTTCCATGGCTCTAAATATTTCCAGGAGGAGGGCACCTAAATCCACTCCAGCAGTCAACCACTGTGGTTATGATTACAGGTTCTAGGGGTTACGATTTATAAAACCTTAACACGTGTTTTAGAATAAGCATTAAGAAAAAATGACAAATAGTGTGCACAGAAGTTCCGTCTCTCTCTTACACACTGACAGGTCACTGGGCGCGCACTCAAAGCTGCAAGCCCCTCCTTTGGATCCAGCCTCCCGTGAGGAACCCTCTAGAACGCAGGCTGGCTCAGTTTTCTGGGACAATATTGATGAAAAAGGTAGCATTACCCAATTCCCTAAGTCACATAAACCTGATCCAAGCCGTGGTTTATCAGTTACTCGCTGTGCATCTGAAAGATGCCCGTGAGCACCCCTGTCCTCACCCTCATGGACTCGAGATAGCTCCAGGGGGACACGTGTCCTCCCCACCTGATAGACACTTCCTTGTTGGCACCTGTCCTCGCCGTAAGAGACACATCCATGGGAATGCTTTTCTTCTCCATAACCTGATAAACTGCTCCATACTCCATGGGGGTGCTTGGCATCACGCCATGTGATAGAAACCTCTGTGGGGCTGCCTGTCTTCTTCCCATCCCCTGAAGATAGATACCTTCATGGAGATGCCTGTCCTCACCTCCTCAGGTTAGACATCTCCATGGAGATGCTTCTCACCAACTCACGATAGAAACCTCCGTGTGGACGCCATCCCCACCACCACCTGATCCCTCTGTGTAAATGCATGTCCTCACCCCCACATGATGTCTCCATGGCAACGCCAGTCCTCACCTCTTCACGTCAGACACTTCAACAGGGACGCCTGTCCTCACCACCTCAGGAGAGAGACCTGCATGGAGACGCCTGTCCTCCTCATCCTCTGATGACAGACACCTCCATGTAGACACCTGGCCTCTCCTGATAGACAATTCCATGGGGACGCATCTTCTCACCACCTTAAATACCTGCATGGAGATGCTTGTCCTCACCATCACCTGATGATAGATATCACCACACACCTGTCATCACCACCTCATGATATAAGGATGCTTGTCCTCCTGACCTGAGGATAGACACCTCCATGGGCAACACATCGTCAAGACTTCATTATATAGATACCTCCCTGGGGACACCTGTCACCACCACCTGATGCTCTGTACATCCACATGGACACCTGTCCTCTGCATCCTCTCATGAGATATACTCCAAATGGACAGCTGTCCTCATCACCTATGTTAGATACCTCCATGGGGTCACCTGTCCTCACCATCACCTGATGGTATGTCCAACTAGATGCCGTCTTCACCTCCTTGTGACAGATACCTTTGAGTGGACACCTGTCCTCACCACCACCTGATGGTAGAGACCTCCAACTGAACGCCTGGCCTCATGGCAACTTGATGAAAGATAAACTACCACTTCATGGTAGATACCTCAGTGGACTGAGAGATACCTCCGTGGAGACACAAACCCTCACCACCTCAGGAAGATGCCTCCGTGGACGCTGTCCTTAACACCTAGTGACAGACACATCTGTGTAGATGCTTTCCTCACCATCACCTGATGATGCTGCCATGGGGATGCCTGTCCTCACCGCCACACGATAACTCCATGTGGACTCCTGTCCTTACCTTAACCTGATGAGAGGCACCTCCACGTGGATGCCTCTCCTCCTCACAACCTTACGATAGACACCTGATGTGGGCATCTGACCTCAACACTTCATGACAGAAACCTCCATATGGACACCTGCCCTCGCCATCACATGGTGATAGATACCTCTGCGTGCACACCTGTCTCACCACCTCAAAATGGGTACCTACATGACGATGACTGTCCTCACCATCACCTGATGATGGATACCTGTATGTGGAGCCTCCTCACCACCCCATGATACACCATCCGCGCGGACGCCTGTCCACACTGTCCACTATACCTCTAGGCTGACGCCTGTCCTCACCACCACCTGATGGTAGATGCCTGCATGTCAATACTGTGCATACCATCACCTTCTGATCGATACCTCGACGAAGAGTTCTCACCACGTGATCGTGTCTCTCTCCACCTCATGACAGACACCTGCATGGGGATGCCTCTCCCCTCCAGCACCTGGTGACAGATACCTACATGTAGTTGCCTGTGCTTACCACCTCATGACAGAGACTTCCGTGTAGATGCCTGTCCTCACCATCCCCTGGTGCTAGATACTTCCATGTGGATGCTTCACTTGATGACAGGTACCTCCAACGGGACACCGCTCTTCACCACCTCCTGATAGTCCTCCAAGGGGGACGCCTGTCCTCACCCTCATGATAGGTGGTTCCATGTGGGACACCTTCCCTCACCTCCTCATGACAGCACCTCTGTGGGAATGGCTGTCCTCACCACCACACTTTAGATACCTCCATGGGGAGGCTTGTCTCCAGCACCTGATGGAAACCTCCCCAGGAATCCCTGTCCTCAACTCCACCTGGTGATGGACACCCCCATGTGGAAGCCTGTCCTGAAGTAGAGGTGACAACAGATCCAACATACCCACGGGATCCCATTGTTTGTAAGGGGCTGACTGATCTAACAGGTCCACCTTTTCCACATCACCCCTTTCAACTCCGCTAGGAGTTACCTGCTTTACAGCGCGAACCGAGATCCCCGCCTGCGCAGCCAGCGCCGCCCCCCACCCTGCAGATACACACCCTGTGCAGCTCTCAGTGTGAGGGGGCAGGACCCGCCCTCCCGGGCCAGCAGGGACCCAGTGGCACTGTCCTAGGCACCCGGTGCGCCTGTAACGAGAGCATTTCCAGGGGAATCCAGGGGCCAGCTCTCGGCAAGGCCTCTCTGTCTTGGCCCCTGTTCATCTTGGTCCTCACACGGGGCAGCATCTACCTTTCTGGCTGTTTGCTTAATCTGCTCCTCTTACTATCAACTCAAAACACATCCTACACGAAGGCCACGCTTGG